CTCCTTACAGAATCCACACACAGTCCCTGAATCCATGGTTACTTGTACATTTCCCTAGGAAGCTGGACAAACGACATGGTGAGGTGCTGTATCCACATGACACCTTATGCATGCTGCTATCAGAAGCCACGTTCAGTCAGGTTGGGTTTGATGAGGTTTGGCATAGGGTTTAGGCCGTTCTTGTTTATGCGTAGCTTGAGGGCCGCATGGCGATTGGGTGTTCGATTTTGTTTTTGCAACCGGGATGCCTCACTTAGTCAAGAGCCGGCCTGTTTTTTTCCATACTCTTCCGGAAGCGGAAGCTCCGTGACCCATGTTTATGCCCCACTAACACCAAACACATAGCTCGTAGCTCCCTGACAAGAATCCCTAAACCCTAAAACCCTAAAACCCAAAACCCAAAACGCTGATGCCCGCAACCCTTTAGAGCTCAACCCATCGTCTCAGAAAATCACCTCTGTGGCCCATTCGAGGCGGCGACGGCAAAAACCAGGCGGCTGTGCTCTGTAGACTTAGAAACGTTGGGGCTATTTAGACTAGGGGTTTGGGGTGTTTTAAAGTATAGCTATATGAGGACCAGAAGGGAATACTCTTAGTAACAAGTCCGACCCCTACATTGGGTTTTGAGTCTGGCAGGTTCAGCAGTCAGACAGGCCCCAGAACCCCCAAACCCGGAATGCGCCTTGGGGGTTAGTAGGGCTTTCGGGCTTTCAGGCTTTAGGGTTTGTGGCAGTGGGGTTAGGGCTTCCAAAGTCCACAGGGGTTTCAGGTTATCCTGAGCTTTGAGCTCATTTGTTTTTGCTCTCCGCGCTTAGAAGGGCCCAGTTCTTTCGAGTTAGGGAGGTACGTGGGTCCAAACTGCATCGACGCAGTCAGAGTTTTCAGGGACCAGCAAGTTTTCAGGGACCAGCAGCCGATGTATGCCCAAATCATGGAAAAACAACCTGAGCCCTAAACCCTAAAACTGCATGCGGGTGACATTGCGCCTTCGTCCCTCAACCCTCAACCCTTAAACCCTTAAACTCTAAAACCTAAACCCTAAACCCTAAACCCTAAACCCGAAACCCGAAACCCGAAACCCGAAACCCGAAACCCTAAACCCTAAACCCTAAACCCTAAACCCTAAACCCTAAACCCTAAACCCTAAACCCTAAACCCTAAACCCTAAACCCTAAACCCTAACCCTGGCTGTCTGGCAGTCTGGCGACGCTCGTTGGCGACCATCTAGGCTAAAGTCTAACCGTGGAGGGCTCTAAAGCCCCGTATAGCAAATTTCGGGATCACAGAGGGCTGGAGAAAGATACCTGGTGCTGTTGTGCGCCTAGAGGCGAACATGAAAGCCTCCAAGCCCTAGAGCCCTGCACCCTGAACACCCTAAACCCTAAACCCTAAACCCCTGTTCTCCTCTGGATGTCGAGGCTGTGCTTATCAGTGGGGAGTCTGGAGCAGGCTCGGCTGGCTCTGGCACTGTTTTGGTAGTTCAGGCTCAGCGGCCCTAAGCCCTGCTCCCGAAAACTCGCCCGAAGCCCTAAAACGTAAACAGGACCCTTCAAGTCCCTCCGCTCTAGGAGCCCTTAACCCTAAGCAAACCAAGCCCACGGATTGTTTAGAGTTGAGGAGTTAAGGTTCTATTTACTGGAGTTTCAAGGTCTTGGGCGTTTAGCAGGCATATGGTGTGGGTGTTGAGGAAGGATTTAGGGCGTAAGGGTTTCGGGTCTCAGCATTTCGGGTGGACTGAGTGACAGAGAGAGAGAGAGATAGTGTGTTTGTGTTTAGTTTCATCAGTATGATTCTTGGTCGTAGTGGTGGTGGTAGTAATAGTAGTAGCAGCAGCAACAGCAGCAGCAACAGCAGTAGCAGGAGGAGAAGGAGGAGGAGGAGTAGAAGTAGAAGTAGAAGTACAAGTACAAGTATTATTATTATTATTAGTAGTAGTACTAGTAGTAGGAGTAGGAGTAGGAGTAGGAGTAGGAGTAGGAGTAGGAGTAGTAGTAGTAGTAGTAGTAGTAGTAGTAGTAGTAGTAGTAGTAGTAGTAGTAGTAGTAGTAGTAGTAGTAGTAGTAGTAGTAGTAGTAGTAGTAGTAGTAGTAGTAGTAGTAGTAGTAGTAGTAGTAGTAGTAGTAGTAGTAGTAGTAGTAGTAGCAGGAGTAGTCGTAGTAGTAGCAGGAGTAGTAGTAGTAGTAGTCGTCGTCGTCGTAGAAGTAGTAGTAGTCGTCGTCGTAGTAGTAGCAGCAGCTCTGACTGGTACCGGTACTAGTACTCGTTCCAGTCCTAGTACCAAGAGTAACCTTCTTCCAGCGGAGGCAAGACGGAGTCGACAAAGCTCGTCCTGTCCTTCATCTCAGAGGTTGGCATTCAAGGGGTTAAGAGTCGTACCCCTAAGGTTGTACGTCTCCCAATATGGCCCTTATATTGCCCTTAGGAAAACTCCTTGAGCTCCTTAGTATGTTTTTGCTTATACAACACCTTCAGGGAATGTTTGAAATAGTGTTTTTATTGG